TGTCAAGTTCAGGATCCACCTGCTCGGCTCCAAGCCGTTTGTGATCTATACAGATCATTGGTCGCTACGCACTGCGACTCAGTCGCCCCACCTCTCGCAGAGGATGGCTAGATGGCTAGATGGCTAAATGGCTAGATGGCTATCCTTCTTTGCTGAGTATAGCCGGGGAAGCAGAATGCTTTGGCTGATGCGTTGTCACGCAGAGCAGACTTTGAGCTTGCTCAGAACTGTGACGTCGTCTATGACGGATTTGATTCGCACCGCATATGCGGGTGATGGATGTGTATAGCGTTGCTACGGGCTCTAGGGAGCAAGAGGCTGGGAGCTGGGAGACTCGGACAAGAAATCGTCATCAAGATTGCGTGCACGATTGCACCGATATTCGTTGAATACGTTGGTTTGGCATGTTATAGCACCGCTTCAACAGATACACCACGAATTATGGTTCCTCATGATGAGGATTTGAGATACCGCATCCTTGCTGAGGCTCACGACACGCCATTCAGTGGTCATCGCGGTCGTGAGAAAATGTACAACTCTGTAAGTCCCAAGCTGTATAAATGAACGAGCACCTATGTGCGCACGTGTGTCAACGGGTGAAACCTCTCCAAATGCGGCTGCGCAACTGTCTAGATTACCGGTTCCCACTGGGTACTGGCGGTCCATGTGTTTGGAGTTTGTGCTTGGCCTGCCGAAAGATTCGGCGAGCAACACGGGCGTCGTGGTATTCGTCGACCGGATGAGCAAGATGGCTCATTTGGTGGCAGTGCAAGACACCATCGACGGAGTCGGTACAGCAACGCTGTTCGCGGATCGTGTTTTCCGTCAACACAGACTCCCAGATTCGCTTGTCTCTGAAAGTGACCCCTGTTTCACGGGAAAATTTTGGTCGATTATTTTCAAGGTGCTAGGCACCAAGTTGGATATGTCGACAGCGGATCATCCGCAGACCGATGGTCAAACCGAAAGGGTGAAAGACGTTCGTCGCAGCGTCTGCGCTGTGACGTCGAGGCGCTAAAGCGCCATGATGCCACTAGTAAGGTTTGCACTGAACAATGCAGTGTATTCGTCTACCGGCTACACGTCGTTCTACGTGAACGGGCTGATTCACCCTCGTCCCGCTGACGCTGCCATCCCATGGCTAAAGGCTTGGTGGGGGAGGAATAGCCGAACGGCTAGCTGATGTCAGCCCCCTCATCATCCGCAAAGAAGTCGATGACTTCTTGTCAACCAGACTGAGTGTCCTACGACACGTACGCGATGCGATGGCTGAGAGCCAAGAACTGAAAAATAGAATATGCAGATGAAAAAAGAAGGGATTAAAGTGGAAAGCTTGAAGGTCGAGGACCTAGTTTTATTGAATTCTAAGAACCTGCCTACCCATGCAGCCTCTTCTATTTTCAGGACGAAGCTTCGTCCACGGTTCATCGAACCATTTAAGTTGTGGCCAAGCGGCGCCTAGCGTATACGCTGAACCTTCCAAAACGGATACGCACCCACTCGGTGTTTTACGTGGGCTTCCTCAAGCCGTACCGAGATCCGGCGCAAGTGAACACGGAAGCTTTGGCGCCGGAGCGGATCCCATGGGCCT